AGCGGAAGGGAAAAAAATAAGATGACTTGTGGTAAGTTACAAATAGGGGTCATCAGCTCACTAGAAGATGAGTGAAAAGGGAAATTTTTTTTGGCTATAGGTGAGGAAGATGGTTTAGCTATAAAGGAGTAATCACCAAACCAAGTTTCATCTTCATGTTTTTCTCTCAAAATTCATTATCTATGTGAACGGTTGATGAGCAAAATAGGAGGATTGGGTTGAACATAAGGACAATTTTGATATTTTAAACTTTATTTATGTTGATGTCATACTTTTTTGATAGATAGTTGTTACACATTTTTGTAAAATAATAGAGATCAATCATACTTTTGAGATTAAACGGGACAACAATATAATTTTAAAACAATATAGGGATGTCATTGTAATTAACCTTTTTAAGCAATGCTAGGTTTACTATCCGAAAATACTGTGTACTCTAAAAAGTCTAAATTTAAATTTATGGTGTAGATTAGAATTTAGTGCAAAGTGAGTCAAACCTAATATAAATCAGATCTACACATTTCAAATTATGAATACGTAACATTGTTGTTTTACAATAGGTAACGTTATAAAAATGGACATGTCATAAGAGAAATTTCGTACAAAATTAAATTAATTTGGTCATCCATACACACTTCTATTTAAAAAATCAGAAGATCAATCCTTACTAAATGCAATTACTTGTACTTTGTCCCTTATTATGAAGCTTTTTTTATTGTGTATTTTCTTCCCCATTATAGGACTCTTTCTTAAATTGGTTGCGGGTATTCTTTAGTTGTTTAAATTATAATTGTCTAGATGTAATTCTCATCATATCTTACATAATCTTGTATGATTGATTAAAAAGTTAGGATTGCTCATTTCAAAGAAGAGGGACTCATCAAAATGACTATTAATTTCCAAAAAGTCATCAATGCATAATTCTAATATAGTTTCTATACAAATTTGTTAGTTCTTATTAACGTATACTCTTAATGTATATGATGACAAATTTTAAAAAATTATATAATTTTTATTACACTCAGTTTCATATTAATATGCAATTTTCAAAAAAATTTAAACATGTGTGTCATGTTAAGAAAGTTCAATTTTTATTTTTAATTTAATGAGTGGCGACTTTTTCTTTATTCAATATTAATAATAGCCTTTTAATTACTATGTATAGCTTCAAGGTCACTTGCTGACTTAACGCAAAAGTCTAATTAACAAAACTAATTGACTTTTAAGCAATAATAGTTGGATTGATCATCTGATGAGTTGTGCCCATAGTTTCGGTGGGTATTTACATAAACGTTATTATATGATGGTTTCACATGATTTTATCAAATTAATTAGCATGGCTATCCAAGAAAGAGATAGAGAGAGAGAGATTTAGTTGTCACAATTAAGAAATATATATATGGGAATGGCTCTTTTGTCCAGTCCTTAATCGGACTGGATCGTACTGTTGGGTCCGTGGAGGTTCACCACGTGTCCCGTTTTGATAATTTGAACCGTTCAATGTGTAAAACTCGTCGAGTATTATGTGCCTGTAAAAAATCACGTTGATCGGATATCAGTAACTCTGTGATCAAAATAGATTTTTGTCAACCGTTAATTTATTCACCATCTATTTTTTTTTTATACAAAACTGATTTGATTACATAGCTATCGATATCCGATTAACGTGATTTTTTTAAATATATAATACTCGACGAGTTCTACACATTGAACGGTTCGGATTATCAAAACGGGACCCGTGATAAGCTCCCACAAGCCCAACAGTACGGTCTAGTCCGATTAAAGACTGGACAGAAGCCATGCCCTATATATATATATATATATATTACAAGTAGTAGTTGAGGAAGGTTAAGTAAGGGACCTCGTCAAGTTGTCCCTGAATTATTTAGCACACATTTTTTTATATTATTAGAAAAATAATTTAAAAACAAGGTTACCCACCCTTAATATTTTTATCATTTCACTATGTTTAGATCTTAGACAGGAAAATATATATATATATACACATGTAAGAAAAGAAAAAAGCTAAAATCTAAATTTATTTCTTTATTTGTTGCATTAAGAAAATGAAAACAAAAATTCGTAAATCTAATTTTTATATAATATATTAAATATACTTTTCCAAAGTGAAAGGTCTAATTGATCTATTAGAAAAATCTTCGGACTCCATCCCTCAAGATGAGATTCACAGGTAAATTTTTCTTTCTATTTTTGTTCTTTACAAAAATAAACGAAAACTTATTTCTTCTGTTTTTTATAAGCAGAAAATTGAAAACTGAAACAAATAGGCCTTAGTTTTTATTTTTTATTTTGAGTAACCAAACAATAAAATGATTTTTTTTTTCTATTATTAATTTTTTTCCCCTTTTTGTGCTAAAAAAGTAAGATACACAACTTATGAGAATTAAATTTGTGATGAATTTTTATATAGGAATTTTTTTATTTATTTGTAATGACGTGAAATGTGAGATTCTTCAAATATTCGAAGAGAAGTATAAAAAATGACTTAAAATATGAGATTCTTCAAATATTTTAAAATGATGTGGGATTCTTCAAACATTTCAAAAGAAGTATAAAAACTCTTTCGTAAACTTCGGACAAATGTATAATTTTAAACTGTAACATTTAAACGTAATACTCTAATGTAACACAAAATTCATTAATGTACTTTTCCCAAATGTCATACTCAAATGTAACACGCACAAAAAAACTCCTTAATGTACTTTTTTCAAATATAACCCTCCAATGTAACACTCCACAAAAAGATGTGGGATTCTTCAAACCATTCCAAAAGGAGTACAAAAATTCCTTAATAAGTTTTGGGCAAATATATAATTTCAACCTGTGTGTTACCTTTGAAAAAAATACAATAAGGAATTGTTTAGTGTTTTTGTGTGCTATATTGGAGTATTATATTTGAGATTACATTGATTAGAATGTTACGTCTGGGAAAGGTACATTAAGAAGTTTTTTGTGTATTACATTAGAGTGCTATGTTTGAAAAAAAATACACTAACGAGTTTTTTAGTGTGATATATTGGCATGTTACGTTATTGGAGTGTTACGTTCTTAATCGTAATGTGAGATATGTGCTAGAAGGAGGGAAAATCCAAAACTTCTATAGTGGGGATTGTCCAAATGTGTAATTTCACATTTGAAAAACTTACTTTTATCTCTAAAAAAATTAAACCCAAACAAGTGATTATCATTTTGTTTATTTTAAACTTTAATAAGACCTTTGGATTTATGAGAAAAAATGGAGGTCTAAAATAGTTCACAAAATCATATTTTGAGATTTATTAATACTTTATCCAAATAGAAAACTTATTTGGTGTATAAAAAATATTTTGAAAACAAATAAAAGTACAAATAGAGAAATACATTTGATGAGTTACTAGAATTGTTGGCCAGAAATGAAGGGTGGACAGATATGGTGGCCAATGATGGCTAGCTAGTGGCCGGAGGTGTCTGTCTGTGTCGGAGGTCACATGGTGGCCAGAACAACGCCAAAAAATGGCAGTTGAAGATCATGACAGTAGCCATCCACTTGTTGGAGAGTCGCCAAAGGTTGGTCAAAACTCGCTAATCAACAACAATGGGTGGTGGCGGTCAGTGGATGATGGCGGTGATGGGTGGTGATTGGATGTGGTGCATGAACAAAGTGAAAGCTCGGTTTTGGAAAAAATGTAAAAACACAAGTTTTTGTGTTTTTAAAAATTGTAAAGTCAATTTTATTTTCTTGAAAACAAAAGTAATATGCCAAAGAAGTTTTGTTTTTAATTTAAAAAAAAAATGAAATCGAAAACAAAAAACAAGAAATAAAAAACTTGGACAAACTAGAAGTAATTTTATTTCTTCCATCTCCATTTCCCATGACAAATCCAAAGGTCCCCACAGTTTACACGTGCATGTCATCGCGTCATATGCGAGTTCATATCACGTCACTAACGATAAAGATAATGATAATGATAATTAATATCAAATTTTAATCTCCTTCTTATCCATAATCGCATTGGGCTTATAAATCTAAAGACAAATGGCAGCTTAAAATAATGGTTCATATTTAGATCTCTAGTTTGTAAGCTGCAGCTGAAGTTAGAAGACAAATAGAAGCAGCCTACATGCCCTTAGCCAAAGGTAACGTAACACGGTCCCTAGTTTGTAGCATTTCATTAAAGTCGTCAAACCTAAGACTCTAAAATCCTCTGCAATTGCTTATTACCAATTTTTTTTTTTTTCTTTTTTTTTTTTTTTTTTTCACAAAGGGCTCGGTTAACAACTACATATTTTAGTCAAAAAAATTAAAAAATCGCTATAAATTGTCATATCACTCTCTACTTTTCTGTATTTTTTTTTTTTTTGTAAAAAATTAAAAAATTATTAAAATAATTTATTCCCAAATGAGCCCAAAGTATACATCAATAGAGGTTAGTTTGTTAGAACTTAATAGGAGAAGGTAACATGAAGGTTATCAAATTTCACTTTATAACTCAAAATCTCACAGTATAAAGTAGTGTTACACAACCATGCTACAAACTTAGCTTGCGTTTGCTATAAATTGTCATATCACTCTCTACTTTTCTGCATTTTTTTTTTGTAAAAAATTAAAAAATTATTAAAATAATTTGTTCCCAAATGAGCCCAAAGTATACATCAATAGAGGTTAGTTTGTTAGAACTTAATAGGAGAAGGTAACATGAAGGTTATCAAATTTCACTTTATAACTCAAAATCTCACAGTATAAAGTAGTGTTACACAACCATGCTACAAACTTAGCTTGCGTTTGGTTGTATTTTGTAAATGTAATTTGAGAGTATGAGTTATATTTTGAGATTGTGTGTTGTAGAATTATGATTTGAGTGTTGTAGAAAATTTGTTTGGTAAAGAGTTTTGAAAATAGTTTTGGAAAAGAGGTTTGATTTGAGTGGGGAATTGTTGATGTGACATTTGATATGTGATACAAAAATTTACAACTCATAACTAAACATACAACTCAAAATTATTTTAAAGCATATAAAAAATTTAAAAATTTTCAGAAATTTTTTTTTTCGATTATATAAATCAATTGCAAAAAAAAAAAAAAAAAATTCACTGTTTTGGACAGCCGGCTGGACGACCGGCCGGACGTCCCGTTCCCTCAAATGCCCCCTCTGCAACAAACATAATGCTTTGACATATAGACAGAGCTTCTGGCAGAGTTTTGAAAAATTAATTCCAAAACTACTATTTTCAGAGCACAAACAAACAGAGCCTTAATTTGTTGCCATCTTACTCTTTGCATTTTTAAGTTTACAACGTAATTTCTTGACAATATTTTTAAAATTAGACCGGTAAGTTTAACTCGTAAACTCGTTGACCGGTCTAGTAATTGGTTGAGATAAACTAAATAATTCAAAATAAAAATAAAAATAAATAAATAAATAAATAAGGGAAGCTGGCATATTTCTAAAGAACCGTCAAGAGCCGCAATAAAACAGGCTACCATTCAAACTAATTACCAGTTTAGGAAAATTGGCCAAATCGCTTCCCCTCTAAAGATTGTTCACTTTTCTCTTGTTTTATTGTCAACTTATTCATACATTTTTAAACTTACAATTTGACTTCCTGTTCTTGGATCCAACAATGGAAAAACCACGAAGACAGTTCCCTTGGCCCCCAATTAACGAGCTGATTCAAGTAATTTAAGTTCACAATATAAACTAATCGGCTCAAGACCGGCCGTACAAGTCAAGTATACTAACTAAACAATGATAGAGGAGCGCACAATGTCTATTGCAAGAAATGAGTATAACATTCAATAGCACCCATTGATCCAAATGGAGCTAGAAAGAGGGAGACATAAAACAAAAATGAAATTCAACTTCATTGAAAAATGCGACTCTATAACCACATGCATCTCATTGCACTGTTTCCAAACCAAAAAAGGGTGGCTGGTGGAAGTCTCCGGAGAGGGGAGAATGGCCAGCAGTGGTCGTGGGAGAGAGGTTGGTAAGAGGAGAGCTCAGAGAAAGAATGAAAACTGAAAGAAAAATATACGAGCAATCATATTACCTGATCACTACAGGAAAAAAGAGTTTAGGCGACGTTTGTTTAGCGACGTTTTTTTAAACGTCACTTTTTTTTAATATTTAACGACGTTTTACAAAACGTCGCATATTTGCTTAATAAAACGTTACCGTTTTGTAATAGGAGGCGTTGAAAAACGCCTCCAAATGCGTTGTGATTCACGCGCATGGTCTCCCCCCTTTTCAAACCCTAATTTTGAATCTGAGACTCACCGAAGACCCAGATCTCGAGCGCGCTCTCTCGCTCTCTCTAAATCTCAGAGCGATTTTGAAGCTCCACCGTTTATTCATTCTGAGAGCGAGGTAGCGAGCACCAACGAAGGTGAGCTCCACTGTCTCTCTTTCTCTCTCTCTCAACCCTCTCTAAACCCTTATCAGAGCGATTCCGAGATTCATCTCAGAGATTTAGAGATTCAACTCAGAGATTTAGAGATTCAAAGTGATTTCATCTCAGTGATTTCATCGCAGAGCGTCAAAGATTCAGATCAGTCTCCACCATCTGCACCATCATCTGCACCATCGTCTACTAAGGTGAGTTCCACCCTCTCTCTCTCTGAAGCTCTGCCTTCCCATCTGTGTGTGTGTGTGTCTGTTTCAGTGATTGATGAGTTGTATTTGCTCTGTTTCAGTAATTGTTTTTCACTGATGAGTTATATATGCTCTGTTTCATTGCCTTTTCTTTGTTTGGTTGTTGAGAAAACTGGGGAAAAAATATTAAAGAATATAAATCTGGATTGTTTTCTTTTTTCATGCACTTGATTTTTCTGTAATTTCAGTTCTAGCATTCATTTGAGATTCAAGCTTATGACTGATATCACTCCATCTCATATCGGCATTTTCCCCCCTCTCTTTATATAAATTTTTTGTATTTTGCAGAAATTTATGCATATATATTTATTGAAATTGAAATTATTAATTTTCTGTGTGTAATAGAGTTTGATCAATTGGTGATTTATGTATGGTTCTGTGTTTTCTACACTAATATGTCATTACAGATAGCTACTCATCTACTTCAATTTAATTTTTTGCCCATTTGAATGAAATAAGAAATTCTTAGGCTACTTGAGATTGCATCTGGTAGATGCTTAGTTCACATTGATGATGTATAGGGCTGATTCATATATCAAATTGTAATTAAACCTAATTTATATGTATTGCTGCCTTTTAACCCTATATATTGGTGCCAACTGCCTGTACTACGAAGTTGCAGAGAGATGGAGTCCCAATCCCTCAAGCTTCGCAACATTTTGGAGTTTCACAATCTCCCAATCTCGCCGACTCATCGGTTCTCACTCCTTGTTCACCCATGTGAACTCACTTCTCTCCCATCACTCTTCTCATCATCGTCGAATCCTTCTCACACTCGAATTCTTCACCAATTTAGTCGAATCCTTCTCTCCAAGTTTTCATATATTTCAGTTTTAATTTTTCTGTTTTCTTTCACAAGGGTTGTTAAAACAATTCATTTGAGTCTAATTTTGATATCTGTGAGCATCTGCTGTGTGACTAGTAAGCTTTCGAAGGAGTGCCAGAGGAAGCTATTTCTACATATAAATTTTGTAGAAACATTTATATGTAAACCCATTGAAACATTTTGAATAGTTAGCTTTTTTCCCAAGAAAAAGCCACCGGATTCACACGGTGTGAAACCACACCTATTTAAACCCACTGAACTGTTAAAAGAAAAGCCACACTCACAATTGTAAGAAATTTCACATTTTTCGTTGTCTTTATTTCCTTCATTTTCAGGGGGTTTGCTGTCAAGACCGACCTTTCAACCATTCAAAGTTCTCTTTTTTGTTCTCATGTAAAAAAACCTTTCATTTGTGTTTTGAACCCATTGGTCATCCCAGAAAAGAGTAGAGGATCCATTATGGATCTGCCAACAGTTTCCCTGTTTCAGAATTGTCCAGCCTTGAATGATCCATTTTTACCTTTCAAAGAATCCTTCTCACACTCGAATTCCTCACCAATTTAGTCGAATCCTTCTCTCAAAGTTTTCATATATTTCAGTTTTAATTTTTCTATTTTCTTTCACAAGGGTTGTTAAAACAATTCATTTGAGTCTAATTTTGATATCTGTGAGCATCTGCTGTGTGACTAGTAAGCTTTCGAAGGAGTGCCAGAGGAAGCTATTTCTACATATAAATTTTGTAGAAACATTTATATGTAAACCCATTGAAACATTTTGAATAGTTAGCTTTTTTCCCAAGAAAAAGCCACCGGATTCACACGGTGTGAAACCACACCTATTTAAACCCACTGAACTGTTAAAAGAAAAGCCACACTCACAATTGTACGAAATTTCACATTTTTCGTTGTCTTTATTTCCTTCATTTTCAGGGGGCTTGCTGTCAAGACCGACCTTTCAACCATTCAAAGTTCTCTTTTTTGTTCTCATGTACAAAAACCTTTCATTTGTGTTTTGAACTTTATCTCAAATCAAGATTCAAGAATCATTTTTGCATTGCAGCCAACCATGTCTAGTTTGTTCCCCCAGAATTCAAGTTTCTCACCTGTAAGAACTGCTTCTCCACATATAAGGACCAGCCCAGATGTTGATAGGTATATTATACGACCCTTTTCAATTCGATTTCGATTCTAATGATTGGGTAGTTTTTGATGAGTTTATAGCTTTGATTGAATTGGGTTTTATATGTTTCTGGGTATTCTTTACTTCTTGTAGCCAGTACTTGGCATAGCTCTTAGCAAAGCACCAGAAGCTTGAACCTTTCGTGCAAGTCGTTCCCATGTGCAGCCGACTGTTGAATCAAGGTTGGCAACTACCTTTGGTTTTGGATCTTGTCTTTATATGTATCTATTGGGTTATCTTGTTTTTTGACTAACTTCTATAATGGTTCTGTTATATAATGAGAGAGAGAGAGAGAGGGAGAGAGAGAGAGAGAGAGAGGGGATTAGGATTGTGCATAAACCAAATTGGCTTCCAATTGGTTTTCTTGTTTTCAACTTTTTTCCAGTTGAAGTTTGAAGGGATATTAATTTAAATTAAGGTTGTGATTTGTGTTGCATATGTATTTAGAATTAGAGATTCTTGAATATTTATCAAAAAAAAAAAAAAAAAAGAGAAAAGAATTAGAGATTCTTGAAGGGTGTTTGTGTAATGGCTTAACAAATTTTGGTATTTGGTGTTTCTATGTTTTGTTGATCTCTACGAGCTTGAATCGATTGACACGACCCCTGGAATAGTAGGAACCCATTGGTCATCCCAGAAAAGAGTAGAGGATCCATTTTGGATCTGCCAACAGTTTCCCTATTTCAGAATTGTCCAGCCTTGAATGATCCATTTTTACCTTTCAAAGAAAGAGAAGAAGAAGAATAAGAAGAAGAAGAACGAACGAACAAGGTAAAAGTACTAACATAAAGCATTAGTTTTTATAAACACCTTTAATCTTTTAGCTCTGATTGCTACAGCACCTTTAATTTGTAAGGGTAAAATTTGACTTGGCTCTGGACAGTTGATCTAGGTGAGGTGATGAAACGACAATGTGTGTTTAATGACTAGGGCTTAAATTTGACTAGTCTTTTGCTCTTGATTACATTGTTTTAGTGGAGTTCAAATTATCAACTCCAAGAGAAACTACAAGAAAAATGTGCTATATATTGTTAATTACTGGTTCGCTACATTAACATCTAAAACTATAAGTATACAATATCTTCAGTTTCAGAAAATATGATTAGACTCTGTAGCATTCTTAGTTTGTAATATCTTTTACAAATCAATACTGCATGTATATTGAGAAGTGTTGTAGCATTATTTATAAGTCAGTGTCTTGATGTTTCTTCATAGCAATAAAATCTCTTCATCAATGATTTGACCTGATCCCTTCATTCTCAGTCAAGATTTTGCTGGTGGAGTGGTTCTCATACTTTTTTGGTCTGTTTAAATTAAACCATTCTAGCTTAATCACTTTTTGGGACTAGGCTGACACCAAACTTAGTGGTTGCCTGAAAATCTACTGAATAAATACTCTTTGAACTGTAATGTAGCATCAAACTAGGAAAAACATATAGCAGTGAGCATTATTGATGGAGATAATTCAAGCGATAGATTATTACCAAGTAGTTGTTGTTCTTTTTTTGCTCAGATTTTTGTTTATTTATCAAATTCATCCTCTATTTTGTTGCCTAGAACAGAGAGTTCTTTTATTTTTATTTTTTATTTTTAAACTTTGCACTTTGGTCACTTGATGTTTGCCATAAGTTAAGATTTGATTTTTAATTAATCTTCATTAATATTTGATTACTACCATATGTTGCAGAGTAAACTTTTATTATTAGTTTCTTACCTGTGTCATTGCACCCCTATGTTTAGATAATTGTTTACTATAGTTGGGCGTTAGCTCTTCGGATTCCAATCCATGCTAGCTCAGGGTTGATTCTTCTCATTCCCCTCAGATCATCATGTTAGTTGGGCTAGAGCAGATCTGCACCAATCCTCGAGTTTTTCTAAGTCAAACTGTGGATTTGACTGACCTGCTCTCTTCTATGTGAAAGTTTTAGAACTGTCATTCTCATTCTCATTCTCATTCTCTCACTCTTAATCTGTGCTGTTGTGACCTATATTTTTTCTTATCTTTTTTAGCCTGAAATGTCAGATCTGTGTTTGTTTCAGATTTTAGTTTAGCTTATAATCAAGTTGTATGAGGAAGTTTGATGCTTTTTTACTTTTCACAAAATCTTTTGTAGCTTAATTTCGATACTATATTCTTTTCTTCTCCTTCATTTTTTTTTTCCATTTATTGTATGGAACTATTTGTCAATTCACCACATTTGTCAATTCACCTCCTTGTAATGCTGTTGGTTTGGTTGATCGATTTTTTCTTGGCGTACAACATCTTTATAAACATCCTGTCTACAGAAGAACGAAGGTGCACCAAGTCTCCTATTATCGCTGCTATCTTTCCTATATTAAAGTCTTTAAATCCCTGGCAGATCCTTGCATGGTTAACTTTCTCCATATAACAGGAATGCAGTGTCAACTCTCCTGATTATGGATCTCTACCACTAAATTCACCAGAATGGTGCCTTGCTCCATTTGACCCTGAGGGCATCTTAAGGTTAGAGAACTTTCTGACCCATGAACTTTAAGTACTCTTTATCTTATATTTTATTTCTAAGACTGGGGATATCCTCAAGCGCAAGAGAAGTGATAGTCATAAATCATGGCATTCTGATCACATGAAGTATAGTATCTAAATGTTGCCATAAATCTTAATTGAGTGGAAAATCGGAATAGCAATGCCTTTATCTTATTCAATTCCTCTGCAGAGCTGACTTAATCTTACCATTTGCTATTTCAAATGCCCAAGTTGGCATTGGAGGAAAGCAAGCTGGAAATGCACCCAATCTACTCCCAAACACTTGTTCACTTATTCCCAAATAGCATTAGAGATTCCATTATGGTCCAAGACAAATCTTAAATGTTGTACTTTATCTATTAAGGACCTAACAAATGTTGAATGGAATTCATATTTGTCATGTATTGATATATAGGTATTATGCTATTCAGATCGACCATTTCCTTTTTGGGAGATTGATGTTATAACTTGAACAATTTGTTTTATTTCTACTGAGGACAATCCTTCATTATTATTATCAAAGGTTTAGAGTAATTTCATGGTCTTTTATTATTTAAGTTAATAGGATTGATATCTTTGATAATGCAGCACTTAGAGAATAGCTCCACTGCTGTATTTTCTGACAAACTATATTTTAGTCTTGATAATATTATTTTTATATGAAGGCTCTTTGATTAAACCTCTTTTGCTCTAAAATGTTCTAGCTCGTTGATGGCTGCCATTACGTGTGTTGTGGGATTGCATTATGGACATATTATTGTGCATTTTAAGGTACAACGCGTTTGTCGCTTTTATTTAGCATGCTTTTGCAGCCTAAATGAATTGATCTATTTTCCCCTTAATTATATTTGTGTTTGAAAATTGTTTAGCATGCATGCATATATTGCTTAGATTTGAAAATTAAGATGGGTAAACCTCAAGGATGGTATACATAATACTCGGTAACTATTTGTTCCCTCCAAAGTCATTTGACTCAAACAATATGTTTTTATTTTAATTTTTTTAAAGTGATACAAATATTTTGGCACCGGTGTTTATAGTAGCGAAAAGATTGGATTGGGAAAAACCCTTCTCTCTACTGTTCCTTGTATTTAAACCTTTATTGTGTTCTTTGTTTGATATGCTTGTTTTTGTTTTATTCTTGCATGTAATTAATGTTGGTTTCTATTACAGGCCGCCACCTTGAGTTGCAAATATGGCGGATGGATCACAGCATCCATCAATTTCCCAGAAGATACATGGGCAATCTTATTTCTTATCTCGAATTTCTCCTAACTTGCGCTCCAGGAATACTGGTTTACACAATATGACTGATGCATAAGTAAATGGAGGTCTGCAGAGTCCTCTGCCACCAACATTCCAAGGCACTGGCCTGGAATTTGCATCACCACTATCCTTTGTTTTTGTACAAGCTCCCGCAGAAAAAGGTTTTCGTAGTTTTATGATAGACTTCCTCATGGGAGGAGTTTCTGCTGCTGTATCCAAGACTGCTGCTGCTCCGATAGAGTGAGTTAAGCTATTGATTCAGAACCAGGATGAGATGATCAAAGCTGGTCGGCTGTCTGAACCATACAAAGGGATTTCTGACTGCTTTGCTCGAACAATTAAGGATGAAGGCATTATTGCTTTGTGGAGAAGCAACACTACCAATGTTATCAGATATTTCCCAACCCAGGTTAGCCTATCTTTTGTTTATATTTGTTAATCTTTCCATTTCTTTTGTTTTGTTTTTCTGCTCTCGATTAGTATGGGAGCAGTTATCTCCACAGTCTAAAACATCTCTTCCACAACCCTGCCTCTCACATGATGGGACAACCCCATGTGAGTGTGTGGTCTGCAGAAATAACAATTACATAATAATTAGTGTATATATATATGTGTTTGCTAACAAAAGGATGGATTGACATCCTGAAATTTGAAAGGAAGTGATGTCTAATCTGGATTTGATTTAGGTCCTCCAAACAGCTTCATCCTGTCAGTTTTGGAAGTTTGAATTAAAAATGCTGGCTTGTTGATGTGATTCATTAAGTTTCCGTTTTGATTTATCATTTGTTGACAACCATGTCTTGTTTTATAGAATGTCTCACAGAATTTGCAATTTCATCAATCCTTTTCAGGCCCTGAACTTTGCTTTCAAAGATTATTTAAGAGGCTGTTTAATTTCAAGAGAGACAAGGATGGTTACTGGAAGTGGTTTGCCGGGAATTTGGCGTCAGGTGCTGCTGCTGGTGCTTCATCTTCTCTTTTTGTTTATTCCCTAGATTATGCTCGAACACGTTTGGCTAATGATGCTACAGCTACTAAGAATGGTGGTGGAAGGCAGTTTAATGGTTTAATTGATGTTTGCAGCCTCATAACTAATCCCATTATTGGATGATTTCCAAAATTTGCCTGGTCTATTATTTCAAATATTTTTTTGTTGGAGCACGTAATGTTATTATAGACCTTTTCACATATCACTAGATACTGGCTTGGTCTCAAATCAATTCTTTTGTTATTTTTCTGCCTTTTTCTTTTGACAAATGTTCATTTGAATGGAAATAGGAGTTATTGTTTGATATTAGTGCTACTTTGCAATTTTATTACAAGTAATAATTTAAAAAAAAAACAATTAAAAAAATAAAGATGTAATGGCATTTTTCAGAACCCCACTATATAGGTTTTTTAAAATTAAAAAAGCTATGATGACGTTTTTGAAATGTCGCTAAAAGTTGTCAAGACATCACTTTGCAGTTGAGTATCACATTTAGAGGCGTTTTAAAAAACGCCGCCTATAACAAATTAACGACGTTTCTAAAGCGTCGCTAAAATTGTCATGACGTCACTTTGCCTTATGTACCACATTTAGAGGCGTTTTTTAAAACGCCGCCTATAACAAATTAACGAAGTTTTTAAAGCGCCACAATACTATAGCGACGGCCGCGTCCTCGGCGTTTGGTGCTAAGCGTCACAAAAAGAATTAGTGGCGTTTTTGGCACTTATCGCGGCGTTTTTTAAACGCCGCTAAAAGCTGAATTTCCTATAGTGGATGCAGAAATGATTTGAATCGGATGCTTGAATTACGAGTCACGTTTAGAAAACCTCTCATCAATTGAGAAGCAACCAGAGTTTTTCAATATTTATCTACACTCCAAATTCCTAGGCTATCGAAATGGCAGCCTCGAGATAGATGAATAGATAGAGAACTTATTGTTTTTGGCGTGTCTACACAATGTTGAACATGAGCCCTTATATAGGCATATATGGCAAATCATGTGTACATCATGGTTAGGTCACACCATGCATACCACATATCCAAGATCATGTGTCCCTCATGATTAGGTCATGCGTGGATGGACCATGTGTACCATGTGGCATTCAAGATTAGGCCATACCACGTGTACCATGAGGTCACACCATGTGTATTTACTACATGGTTTCTAAATCTCCCATTTATCCACATATCCACATAAAGTGTTATATGCTCATTCATAATTTCTCAATCTCTCATTCAATCCATCCCTCATATGGAAAAATAAAGCGCCTAACATGACGAGAAGGTATAAGGTATGAGTGATATATTAAGTCACCATAAACTAACATAGCTCATCACATGAAATATCGTCTACACCCTAGATTCATTGGATCACACCAAGTCAAACATTTTAAAACCCCTCGCGAGTCATAACTCATAAACATGCTTGACCTCAACACATATTTGTGTTGGGGTATATCTCCTTATTGGAGTTTAAGACCCAATTGGTTTTGGAAAAAGAATTTTAATTTGGCTTGGTTTAGGTATAATATATTTTAATATATTATATCTAATTTGTGGAAACTCAATTCAATTTGGATACAACTAGGGTTTTGATAAAACAAAACCAAGATTTAACAGTATATATATATATTGTTCCGAAGTGCTGCATAGAGATATACGGTTTTCATTCATCTCGGTGACCGTGCGTGTTCCCAATTTGGTGAAGTCTTTCCTCTTGTTTATTTTGTGACTATTTAGAATTCACCAAATGGTGGTTTTGTGAGACCATTCGTGTCTCGTTTGTAATCGTTTGGAAACTATTTGGTTGATAGTAGAATCGGATTTCGATTCAGTGGACGTACCTTTCAGTGAGGAAATCACGTAAAATTCTTGTGTTGCTTTTGATTTAATTTTTTCGATATTAGTTTTTTATTTCCATTGATTGATTTACTTGTGGGGAATCACATATTTTTCCTAACAACTGGTATCAGAACTTACAATTTATTTGAGTTTATTTATTTGTGTAAATCAATGGAGGGGAATGTGGGTCGTATGTCTAGCTTCAATGGAAGCAATTGGGTAACTTGGAAAACTAAAATGGAGGACCTATTATTTTGTAAAGATTTGTATGGACCCATTGAGGATGATTCTGGCAAACCCGAGGGTATGAAAGATGATGAATGAAATAGGTTTAATCGAAAAGCCGTTGGCGTTATCTGTCAATGGATCGATGACAGTGTATTTCATCATGTTGCTACTGAAACTTTGGCACATGATTTATGGAAAAAATTAGAGAGTCTTTATGATAGAAAATCAACCACAAATAAAGCCTTTTTGTTTCGTAAGTTGGTTAATTTAAAATATAAAGATGGCAGCCCCATGTAGGCACCCCATTTTTGACCGACCTTAAGACTCAGGCATCACCGATTGAGCGCTTGGTGATGTTGCATATCGTGCTCGTTCAGAGGTTTCAGAGTCTCGGCTGCGAGCCTTGCCTCCAGACTTCCGGACACTTTCATGCTTTGCTTCGGTTTGCGAACCAGGCTCTGTTTTCTCTGTTTTCTCTTCCCGAAGGGAGGGAGAGGTCTTGTAGATCATCTCTCAGTGGCCGTAGGCTACGTTTCGTGGTCATAGGCCATTTTGTCCGTTTGGAGTCCGGTTTCTGGTTTTTCGGAGCCGTTGGCCGTGTGCCTCGGTTCGGGACCGCTTAACCACCTCCGTTTGCTCCGGTTTTTGGCATGTATCTTATTTTCTCCATTTTGAGGGACACTGAGGTCTGAGAGACCCACTTCGTCGTCGAATACCAATTTCGGTGCTTAACAGGCAGTTTTTGGGGCCCCGAACTGCGTGTTTTGGCCCCCGAACATTCGTTTTGCATCGATTTTCGTTCATTTTTGGCAGGTACCTCTGTTTTATCACCAGGAAGGTCACTGAAGGGTGGGAGGCCAGTAATTGTTCTGACACCAGCTTTATTCCTCATCGCCCTCCGTCGCGGTGCTAGTGTTGGCGAACTCTCCAACGCACGATAGTATGCAAGGTCTCACAGGGCACTTTTTTCCCTTGCCCAAACCAGCATATTGTGATGACTGTTTACACACCAGGGACACACAGCCAATATCATCTGGCCGGCTTAGTATTCACTAATGTGAACCTTTTTGAACCCCTACAAAAGTGGCCTTTTCTTCTCTCCTGGTTCATTTCTTCAGATTTTTGACCACATGGTTGTGTTGTGCACACATGGGAGGCCACCAATCTAGGGTGGCCGGCCACTAATATTGCTTGAACCTTTTGACCCTGGGCCGGCCGGCCATGGGGAGAGCCGGCCGGCCGGCCACCTAAACCCTAGGAAACCGGCCGGCCATGATCCTCTCTCCAGGTACTTTACAGAAATGTATTCTGTTTCCCCCCAAATTTTGTATCCGGGAGGCTGCACTCTTGGGGGGAAACTTGAATTCCTTTCCTCCCCATTTTTCCCTCATTTTCTCCACTCTTTCGCCTATATAACAGCACCTCCAGCTCCCATCTGGAGGGTTACAAAAAATTGTTTTAGGCTCTTGCATTACATTTCTCTTCCTCTCTACTCCAAGCACCAAAATCCTTCAAATCCTACACCATTTTACACTACACCTCATAGCACAAGGCCTCCATACTCCATACCAGTAGCTTGAGGCTGTCTTTTAGAACTTAGGAGCACCCAAACTTAGTCCAAAGGCTGTCAAAGATTGGTTCATCAAGGGTAAGTCTCATTCTCCTCTTTTTGGCCCTATTTTTGCATACAATCTAAGCTATACTTGCTTGCATATTTGGGCTCCGACCCTAACTGAAAATAGCATTATTTTGAGATCCTTTTCATGTTTGTTTAAGGGCCTCTCCCTGTTTGAGGCTTCCTTTTAACACTTGCCTCTTTACCTATCTTGTATGCCTCTTTTTTGCATAGTATTTTAGGCTCATTTTTACATTGTTTTGAGCTTGGTTATAAACTTAAAAGTGGCTTATTTTGAGCCCTTCTTCAACATTGTTGAAGGGCTCTTCACTGTTTGAGGCTTCCTTTTGTCACTTGCCTCTTTATCCCTCTTTTGGCCTTATTTTTGCATGTTTTGTTAGCCCATTTTTCTTGTATTTTTGGGCTCTGGTCCGAACTTTAAATACTCTTATTTTGACCCCCTCTTCATGTTTCATCAAGGGACCTTTGCTGTTTGAAGTTCCCTTTTTGCTCTTTGTGTTTAAACCTCTTTTTAGGTCTTATTTTGCATAGTATTTTAAGCTTGCATGTGCACTGTTTTGGGTTTGGTCACTAACTGTAAAATACCATTTTTTGGGCCCCTCTTCAACTTTGTTGAAGGGCCCTCCTCTATTTGAGGCCAGCAACCATCACTTGCTTCTTTGTCTCCCTTTTGGCCCATTTCTTTCACAATGTTTTAGGCCTGTTTGTGTTTAGATCTGTGGCTTGTTGAAAACTATAAAGTGCTTCATTTTGAGCCCCTCTTCAACTTTGTTGAAGGGCTCTTGGACATTTAGGGCCAGCAGATGCTACTTGCTTCATTATCTCTCTTTTGGGGCCTTTTTTTGCATGTTAACTTAGCCCTATTTGTGTTCACCTTTTGGCCTTGATTAAAACTATAAATATGCTTTTTTTGGGACTATATTGATTCTGTCTTCACACTTCATGTTCAAATAATGCATGCTTTGCATAGCCATAGGTCATTCCATGTACCTAACGTCATGTTTCGGGTCTCATTCCATGTATCGGGTGACATGTTTCCATGTTCTGGGGCCGTTTTGCATCATATTTTACTACTGAAATTTGCATGCTAGTGTGCCATATTCCATGCCTTGCCGTGTCTTGTCAGAGTGGCATTTGGTGCCTTAGGGTCGGTCCTCGGTTTGCGTGCATGTGTGCACGCATTTCGAGTGTCTCATTTCCACCATGGCCTCTTATGTGAGTGCGACTGAGGTCCACTCATGTTGGTGTAAGCCCATTGTGCATTGTGTATGCCATTTCATTTCATAGCATTGTGTATGCTAGGTTGTATGTTAGCGCATTGTGTATGCCATGTTACCTCGTGCATCGCGTATGTCATTTCATAACATTGTGCATGTTAGGTTGTACCTTAGTTGCATTCATGCATATCATGCATATT